CCACCCCTTAAATGTAGAAATGCTTTCCCAGTACTTTTTGTTGTATGGAACAGGTTAAATAAAAGAGTTAATGTAGGTGTGTCGTGAAGTATGAAATGCGTTGCCCAATGGATGCTGGCCATCTCTTCCTTAGTTTATCTCAATACCTGCGCTCAGGTTTCAGGGAGAAGTGAGGAGCCCTCGCTCGGTGTTACCGATGTGATGCGCGTGTTTTCAGCTAAAAAAGTTTCAGGGACATAGGGTGACTTTCCCTGTGTTTAAAGGTTGAAATGAAAGCCAAGAAAATCATAGAATTGCTGCAGTGGAAAAGACYTCCAAGATCACCAAGACTGCTGTACACRTGCCTCATTTTTTCATAAATCTGACCAAATAATGACTACACTTAGTTATTGAGTCTAATAACCAGAACAAGGGTAACACTGGGTTCTGAGTTTCCTCAGCACGGAGAACAATGAATGTGATAAATGCCCACACTGCCTTTAGTAACTGTCGTGGCTCAACTAAGTTTTGGTCATCGATGTGCTTCAGTAATTTTTAAGTAATGGTTCAGCTTTTAATTTTTCCATCATACAAATCCTGCCTAATTAGTTTATTCTACTTTAGGTAGTATTTTGAAAATATCACCCCTACTGTAACCGATTAATTATTTCTTAACCAGAATATTTTAATACTGTCGGATTGATAGTCTTACTAGTATTTTGTGTTTCAGAGGTCAGCATTCTGGAAGTTTTACATAGGTGCAGAAATGGGTTCTTCCTTTGTGTGTGATCTGGAAGGGGATCTGATTTTCTGAATGTCTGAACATTTTTAAAGTGTAGGTGACTTTCCTTTAGTACTGCTTAACACAGTCCTGTGACAGTAAAGGTATCTGGGATCCGGCATCCCAGGGGATAGGGATATTGTACATTTGATTTTTACAGATCCTTGGGAGCCATTTCAGGTATTGAAGCACATKCCTATTGCCAGTTTACATTCTGGAATATTGTGCATGCCTGCAAACTGTAATGAATGTCCTACAGACCTCATGCTGTCTCTGAAATTCCTCTGCAGATGCCTCAGATACCCCAGGACATGTAAATGGCCCAAGTCACACAAGGAACTCCCAGCCCCAGTGTCTATTTTTTGTTTAGGTACTGCACCCAGATGGAGGTTTGCCATGTATTACTCTGAATATACGAAAATAAAATACCCATGGATCACACCGGGTAGACAGGACATGACTCTAAAGAGCTCTGCTGAAATATCCACATATGGCCTGTTGCACGATACTTTATTTGTCCCAGAAGAATTAAGATGATAGATGATAGCTGGGGTTTGAACTTGTGCATCAGGAAGGCCGCTTTGAATATAAAGGGGGCAGTATGTGTTTTGTGAAACTACCGATGCAAAGAGGATGTAGTGGAGGAATGGCTTTCAGTGCGATTGGAATGATGACATTTCAGTGGAAATGAGGAAGTTGTTTATAGTTCTGTGTGCAGTTTGGGAAGGCAGTTCAGAAACGGGGCGTGCATGGGGTTAAAGCTCTGCCGAAGGAGCCAGAGGTGCCTGGGGACTGGTGCTCCCAGTTCTCCCAGTTTGGGGAACCTCAGCCCCCCAGTGCCCTGGGGCATCAGTGCTGCAGGGATGGCTGCGAGGAACCCGGAGGAGTTACTACAGCTCTGTGTGTCTGTGTAGCTCTATATAACATGAATAAAGTCTTGTTACCCGAGTAAGACTTAACCGGTGACAGAAAAAGAGGAATTTTGGCCGGCACCCACTGTAAATTGTTTTGTTTCTGTAGGGAAACCAAAGAGAGAGGTGGAGTCTAAAGAAGTGACATTCCGCCCTGTGTGCTTTGAACTGGCGAATGGAGAAAACTAAAGTGCTTAGGGTRACACGCCTTAAAAAGCACTTTTAGCACTTTTTTTTTTTYTSKGGAGGCGCTTTGAAATCAGCAGTCAGCTTTTGAAAATAAAAGGTTTAAGGCTGACTCCAGAAGCTGATCCTCTTTCGTTAAAGGCATTGATGAAAAAGATCTCCAATACAGAAAGGAGGTAGACACTCTGTGACAGCACAATTATTCCTATTCAGAATTCACATTTATTTATTTATTTATTTATTGGTTTTTTTGTTTGTTTATTTAATTTTACTGTTCTGTCCGTAGGGAGAGATGAGAACTGAGCTGTGTCTTTGGAATGCTGTGTAAAGGATGAGTGGCAGCTGGGAATTGCACCCCTTTTCCTCCCAGTGCAATCCGTTTTGTGCTGAGTGCCCTCTGGAGGTCTCGCAAACGCAATGATTCAGCACTCCTTGCTCCAAAGATTCTCCCTCTTTTGCTTTTCTCCTTTGGGAGAAATATTCTAGCCAGCCTAGACGAGCAGAATATAGTTGAATCAACTCTTAGTGCAAGAATTACTCAGAAAAGGTAAAAAATAATTCAGAGCTTCATCCAAAATTCCCAGACAACCAAACTAAATCTGTTCCATATTTAGGAGCTCTGATTAGCTTTATCAATRTATCGAAGTGTGCTTCCTACTTATRTTTCTGGTTTTTCCCTAGTTCTCGTTGGGGCTAAAGAGGAACTGCTAAAATATCCTTGGAGCTTCTTCTTGCAAGATATCAGAGATCTCAGGGGAAGCCTGTTATCCTGYTATCCTTATTCTTCCAGCCAAGTTCTGTAGCCACAGGAACTCTGGATAGCTTCAGTAAGTATAGTAACTTTTGGGTGATTATCTGGATTTCTTGTAACCTGTAAACTCTCTACTTTTGTCCACTTATTCCAGTTCCCCTAACTGTCTGCATCAGTTAAAATAAATACCTGCAGTTTCCCTGACCAGCACACCATCTTCATTCAAAATATGAAATAAAATTCTGAGTTGAAAAATCAAAATTTGATATTGCATTGTTATTAATAATATTGGGTTCTGATATGGAGTTTTGCCTCTCAAAATAATTTAGAATTTTTTCTTTTTTTTTTGCTTCTCTATATGTTTATTTTGCTRCTAGTGTAGCAGGTGTTTTTCTTAACCATTTTTAAGGAGAAATCCTAAGTTTAGAGGAAATGAGCACTCAATTATTTAAATTTCCTGAGATTAGAGGAAGAACACTTTGCCAAATAATGCCTCTTCACTTCAAAACCTCTCCCCATAAATTATGTTAGAGGATCTTATTAAAAGTCTTTAAAAATTTCCTATTAAAAATGGTTGATTGCAGTCCAGACCATCACAGCTTTTGTGCTTTCRGTGAAATACCACAGCTGTCGCAAAGAAATATATTGTGAGACAAAAGGTTTTGTTTCCTCAGTCATAAATTATTTTTGTGATATCTGAAGTAAGATAAAACTTTCACTTATGTTTGAGTGAAGGAAGATTCCTGTGATAACTTGTTCAAAAATCTATAAAAAGAATATAAGAATGTAGATCAAGATAGCAAATTAGAATCAGACTTCCTTTTTGTTTAAGGMAAGCAATTATTTCTGAAGTCAGTGAAGATTATAACCAGGGATAATAGCATAACTTTGCAAAGCACTGTGCCTTTATCTCAGTAGAACCTGAAGTTTAAACTTTCAAGTGTGACCTTTGAGAACTCTACAATAGAAACCTTTAGTGTYAGGCAGTTTTGAAACCAAAGTTAAACAATAGCAAGTAGTCTGCTTACTAATTGTACTGTATTATATTATGATATAATGCATTATTTTAGATTACACTAAAACAAAAAATACACCTTTTTATATTTAAAAGAGCATCAAACAAGCTGGTTTTGACCATGTTTTTCTATTGGCAAACATGTTTTCTGCTGCAGGATTCTGCAGAAACAGCAGCCCTTTAGAGGAGTAAGGACTCCACATGCACTGAACAGAGTGTGAGGTGTTTGCTTCCAGAACAGGAATCTGTGTGCACCCAGTGAAGGAGTAGAAACATATTCCAGGTATGGCCTGTGTATGTAATGAAAATATGAAATTATGCCATATATGTGCTAAAAATTATTTTTTCAGAATAATTTGCCAAATAATTTTGAATAAAAGATAAATTAGGACGTTGTCAATTTGCTCATCCATCATTGTTTTATGGATAAAGGTCAAATTTCTCRGCCTTCTCTCCTGCTTGCTATAAGTTTACTATATAAAGAAATACAGTACAAGTGCTAGCACTTAGAATTTGAGATATTTTAGGTTACACATGAAAAAAAAGAAATTTTTTTTGTAATTGTCAATAACACTAATAACTAAGTCAGTTCTCTTGGTGCCATCCCAAGAGTTTACTGGAATTAGTTTATTTGTATATTTAAGTCAGGAGTGTACCAAACAAAAATGCACGATGGCCTTTTTTTCTTCTGTGCAAA